CGAATATTTTTGGCGGCTCAAAATTTGTCGCCTCAAAAACTCATTAATCATTAATCAATCAGAAAGATCTTGAGATAAAAAGAAAATATTTTTTAATAAACTTTTCCTTATTTCGTAACCTTCAAGGTCATTTTAAATTATCCAAACTCTGTCGGCTTCAAAATTTGATGCCTCAAAAACTCATTAATCATCAACCAATCAGATAAGATCTTGAGACAAAACCCCTTACATTCTGACTTCCGCCCTTTTTTGCAAATCATTTTAATTTTTTTGTAAAATTTTGTAATTTTATTTTTCCTTATTATTTTATTTAATTAATATTTTTTATTTTTATTATTTTTAATTCTACAGTACCCCGGACCCCTGCCCCCAGCAAATTTTCAGTTTCAGACTGAAATTCCCAACGCAAATATTTCAGCCCCAGACTGAAAATATTTCAGTCCCAGACTGAAATTCCATTCTACTACGAGAAGAATAATTTTTCCCGCAAATGACCTTGAGAGGGAAATCTTCCTCCTCCCCCCTCCGCGGGCTGCGCTGAGATTTCAGTCCCAGACTCATTAATCATCGATCAATTAGATAAGATCTTGAGAATTTGAAATAATTGGTTACCTCCCCCTTACGTTTTGACTTCCACCCTTTTTTTGCAAATCATTTTAATTTTTTTGTAATATTTTTTAAATTTTATCTCTCCCTATTTTTTATTTAATTTATTTAATTTATTTTTTATTTAATTTATTTTTATTAATTTTACCGTATCCCGGACCACGGCCCCCAAAATATTTCAGTCCCAGACTGGAACCTTGTACCTGCATCTTGTACTTGTACAAGGTACAAGTACCTTGTACAAGTACAAGGTACAAGTACCTTGTACTTGTAATCAATCAAATTAATCTGTCACCCATCAATCAAAATTTGGCAATCCGGGAACCTGGAAGTACCCCACACCCTTTGGTTTCCCTTGATCACGCCGCCAAACTCGGACAAATGGGACTCGGACAAATGGGACTCGGACAAATGGGATTTACTTGTACCTGTCAATCAATCACTTGTACCTGTCAATCAATCAAAATGACAACTCGGACAAGTGGGATGATTAATTACCCCAAACCCCTTGGTTTCCCTTTGATCATGCCGACAAACTCGGACAAATGGGATGAGTAATTGCCCCACACCCTTTGGTTTCCCTTGATCTTGCCGACTGAAACCTCCTATACCTTTTGATTTTTGCCGACAGACCCCTCCCCCACCTAAATGTCCGAAAAATAGGTCGGACATTTGGGGGGGGGGGGGGGTAACTACTCATTGGCAGTCAAGATTTCGACCCGAGTATTTCGAAACAAGTCTTAGAGATAAAAGGGCGTACAAATCTAACCAAACTACAAAATTTTATTTACTAATTATTTTAACCAAAGTGCAAATTTAAAATCTGTCGGTGAGAAAAAAATATAAAATAACTTAAATACATTTCATAATTTACCGCCATTATTTAACAATTACCGCATAATTTACTCCTCATCTTTGAGATACTGAAAGTAAAATTTTGTGTAGAAAATTTTGGTATGCCCTACGGTTATGGCATTAACTTTTGTTATGTCGAAAAATATATTGCTTAATTTTGTAAAATGATAGAGAATTGAATGGGCTACAAAATGAGAATAAAATTATATTAAAATATTAAGTCTACAGAAAGTTATCGTAAATACATACTCCACTTCGTACTTTTTTGTTACCCTGTAACCGCGGCAATTGACAAGAAAGTGCAAATTTTAAAAATGCCCTAAATGGCTAAATAAATTAATATAAAAATAAGGCGGTAAATTATGAAAGGTATTTATGTTATTTTTTATTTATTTTCTCACAGGCTGATTTTAAATTTGCACTTTGGTTAAAATAATTAGTAAATAACATTTTGTAGTTTGGTTAGATTTGTACCCCCTTTGTCTCTAAAACATGTTTCGAAATACTCGGGTCGAAATCTTGATTGCCAATGTCAAAAATCGAAATTTCGAAAGCTCTTATTAACTTATCATTTGATAAAAATGTCAAAATGAGACTATTTATTTATAGTGTCTCAACAAAATTAAATTATTATAATATTTTCATAGATTTAAAAAAGTTTATTTAAATTATCGAATATTTACAAGCTTTTGACATTTTATTAGAATTCTTTTTAAAAATTGTTTTATTTGTAGAATTTTGGAGGTCCTTAAGCCAGATTTCTTCCATTTTTTCCAAAATGTTGATTTAAAAGTAGATACTTTCAAAAAAGTAGAAATTCAAATTCGTAAGCATGGAGGTCGATTTAAAAGTAGAATACTTTTAAAAATTATGAATGCGAGCCCTGTTATAAATAGACGGGAATTTTTTTATTTAAAGTTTATTTTTATATGAGTTTTTATTTATTTTCACTGATTTGACTTTAAAATTGCACTTTTTTCAATTGCACTTTTAATAAAATTAGTAAATTAAATTTTTATAGTTGTTTACATTTATTTTTACATTTTTGTCTCGTGAGTGTTTTAAAATCATTAATTAACTATAAATTTCGAAACAGCTCCTATGCCCTTAAAATTTGATTAAAATTCCAAAATGCTACATTATTTATTATAGGGTCTCTTCATTAATTAAATTATTATAATAAAAACCCAGGATTTTAAACATGGGTTATTTCAATTATTCCAATATTCATTGGTGTATGAAATTTTTAGTCGAATTCTATTTAAAAAATGTTTAGATTTATGACTTTTGTTGTACATTTTGTCAAATACCGCGGTTAATATAATTAGTCAATAATAGTTTTTATTTGTTTATATTTGTACTTTGGCTCTGTTTTTACTAGCTGTTTGAAAAAAAAAGTTTTATTTGTAATTTATAAAATATTTTTAATATTAAAATTTAAGATGAAAAAATTTATTATAATTGTTCTTTCGTATTTGGTTATTATGCTGAATATTCAAATCGAGGGTAAAATGGTTGAGGTTGGATTAAAAATAAAAGAAGATTGGGAAAAAAAAGAGAATTTATTTATTTAAAAAATATTCAAATAAAGGAACGTTTTGTATTGATAATGAATGTAAAACAAGGAAGTAGAATAGTTGATTATCTTTATAAGAATTCTGATTCATATTGTAAGTTTGAAGTTAATCCTGATAATAAAGTTTTTAATGTTCAACTAAATTAGTGGTCTAAATTAAGCTTTCATTTAAAAATGAGAATTTTGATTGAAATTGCGAATAATGAAATTGTTAAGAAATTTTTGAAAAACATTGTAAAACAGGTATTTAATATTTGATTATTCGAAATTTAAACTTTCGATAATAAACATATTTAATATATTATAGATACGCCTAAATAATAATTTTATCAAGAATAATAATTATTAAGAAGCTTCTATATTAGAAGAAAGGTTAGAAAATATAAAAATAAATAATGAACAATTATTAGAAGAAAATATAGAGTCCTATAAAAACAAACTTGTGTCAAGTTATTGGACGGAAATTAATTTAATTGGATATAAAATTGAATTGTTAGAAAAACAAAAAGTTGATTATCCTAAAGAAAATAGCGGAATAAAATTCATTGGCAATAAAATAAGTAAGCAAATTTTTGACTTTTCCTTGTTAACGTCTCTCACTGAAAATGCCGCAGGAAAATTTAAGTAAAATCGAAGAAGAAAGAAAGGCTGACCATTCTGTCCATATTAAGGTTGATTGATGAAGGAAAAGGAAAAAAGGGCGTGGCTAAAAAAAGAGTACCCAAACCATATGTTCCTAAGGAAATACTAAATTCTCAAAATTTTTGAAAAACTTATCCCTTCAAATCTACCTTGATCCATGCTTATCCTCCGATATACTCCATGCACTAGTCATATCAGGGATAGAAGGAATATCGAGAGATTCAATCCTCCTACCATCCAATATCACCTGATATCTATTCAAATCTTTTCAATTGGATATAATGTATTTAGAGGGATATCGATTGATTAATCACTAGGTCCCTGATAATATCTCACTATATTTGCGCCGCAGTACTTTATCCTCTTTTGGTTCCTGTTGTTCAACGTTATCTTTCTGCGCAAGCAGCGTCAGTAGAAAGTGAGAGAATTTTTCCGTAGCGAGAGATGTCTTTGACCACAGGCGATCACTTTTGTGTACAGTAAATGCAGAAATGTTAATTTTTCTGAACCAAACACTTACTTTATTCATTATAAATAGTAAATTCATTATTTATTCTCTATTTATAAACTTATTTCACATTTATTATATTAAATTAGCTCATTTGGTAAATTTTAAAAAAATACCGAAATACCGCGGTAATACCGACTATTTTTCGTCGGTATTTTTCGGTATCGGTATTTTACCGAAATACCGATACCGACTCAATCAAGAATACCGCGGTATTTTTCGGTATCGGTATTTTACCGAAAAAACCGATACCGAAAAATCGCGTTTGAATAACACTAATAAATATTGCCAAAGTTTTAATAATAATATTTAGGAAAATGATAGGAAATTTAGAAAACGTACGAATATAAAATCCTCAACATCTATTATATTATTTCGTCGTGATCGTCTACTACGGAAAATAGGTCGTAACAAATTTGCGATCAAGCCTACAAACAACTTGGCATCCAAAAGTCGCAAACAGATTCAGTTCGTCTACGTGAGTGCAACATGGACGCAAATTGTTACGACCCCGCTTACGTTTATCGCACACGAAAATACAAAGCAGATGAAGGTAGGCAAAAGAACTAAAACTGGGAGCGCGAACTAACTATTGGCTGAGCTTTTATACTAACACTATAAGGGCTGACGCCCATACAGTGAAGTTCTTTTTTCACTTCACTCATTTTCTTTTTTGCAAGATAAAGTGCCTCTTTTGTTTGCCATATATGCCCGACATTCTTCAATAATTTCTTTCAATGTCACAATGTCTTGAAGGGCACTAACTTAACATTTAAGGCCTCGAACCTTTTCAACAATTTAGACCTATGGTCGCTAAACTCTGACTATTTCACTGCACAGTTCGTCAAACTTCATTTCACTCAATTTGGTTGGCAGCATCTTCCTTTCAATTTGGGCATACTCTTCTGGCACCAATTTACTCAACAACAATCTCACTTTAGAGGATTCTGGCAGGGTTTTACCCTTTTCCTCAAAATAGGACCGATGCCTGCCCAACCATGACTCAAAGGTCATACCACTCGACAAATCAAAAATGAACTCACCAATCATTCCAACCAATTTGCTGTACAATTCTGTGTCGTTCAACTCACTCGGCTTCAACAACCTCACTAACATTTTCTCATAATACACTTGCTGGGCCTTTAGCAATTTGTCCAATGCTTTTGCATCCATGTTCACTCACTAAAATAAACTTTTTATCACTACGCTTTTACTAAACACCACAAATTCACTAATTTTTCGGTTTTACAACACTGCAATTATCCAAACTTTTTACTTTCCTTGAACTGCACACAGCTTACGTAGACGACCACTCAATGAAGTTGACGAAACTGTTGTCGAGACCAGGTTCTTTTTGAACACGACCGCGCCAATTCATTACGACCCCGTTTACGTAGAGAAGCTAACAGAAACGTTTATCGCACACGAAAATACAAAGCAGATGAAGGTAGGCAGAAGAACTAAAACTGGGAGCGCGAACTAACTATTGGCTGTTCTTTTATACTAACACTTTAAGGGCTGACGCCCATACACAACACAAATGTATAAAATGAAGTAGTGCAAGTAGTACAGATAACAGTAGATAAGGAATTATTCAGGGTCAGAATTTCGAATTTAACATAATGTTTATATCAAAGAACCTCATAAAATATAGATATGAAATACCATATCATTTAAATCTGTCAACGTATTAAAAAGTTTTTATTTTTAAAATAGTTCTTAGTTTGTATAGTGCCCGACATTTTTAAAAAAACTGTATATTTAATTATTTATTTTAATTTCCAATTAAAGAATTTTTAAAGAGCTTTTAAAGACACATGTAAAAAAGTTTCCTCAAAGAGGAGATTATTTTACCTTCCTAATTATTTGATAGGGAAAAATATCTCAGAATTAATTATTCCCTCAGAATAATTAATCTAGATAAACAATAAATAAACACTAATACAACTAAAATATTTTTCTTCATATAGCACACAGATATTTATAAAAGAAATGAACGATCACAAATGAACATTGAAAAAGTGAAATTTCTGCCTACTTAAAGGCAAAAATATCAATGATAAAAATGATGCAATGCGAAGTTCATTGCAAAAAATACAAAAATATTGTTAAAAATGGAAAGTGACTCACTGAGTCAACACACAAAAAATAAATAAAATTCCACAAATATATCTAAAAATATTTTTAATCCTTAAATCTTCAAATTTCGTTACGACAGGTGGAATGAATTTAAACAAAGTTGCATTTGTGTGCTTATAATTCGCTAGAAGTTCTACAAATTAATCAGTATTTATTGATAAAGGCTTAACAACTATAATTTTGCGAACATTATGGTCATCAAATTTTATTGCAATTAGAAAATCAAAATCAACATCGGATGTTTTAATATACATATCATCGTTATTTAAATTTTAATCGATTCCTTTGATTTTTATGATTTTTCTTATTAATCTTTTGTTGCTTTAATCCACAAGCATTACATAAATAGTGTTCATTTATAGAATTACGACGCCATTTTTTTGTTTTTGTTGCTCCGCAAATAAAACAATTTACATCTTGAGGAATCGGCTAAAATAGATATTCAGAAACAGGCTTGAAATTGGGCTCTTAGATTAAGAATATATTATTTGATCATTCATTTTTGAGAGAAATGTTGATAAAAACAGATAGAGTAAGAATTTTTTCAAAATTTTTCAGGTAATCTCTCCAAGAATGTTGTTACCTAGAAACAACTTGAACATAGAAAACGAGTAAAAATTAAGGAGGCTTTTTACTTCTTATCACATTCTATCTAAATGTTTTTTTCAATTTAGCAAAAAGATAACCTTTTTAGCATTAAGCTTAAATTTCATCGGTCTATGCTTTCCATCATTCCTTCGATTATGTCGGTAACAAGCGTGGCATAGATAGTTTTCTTTTAGGTATTTACCCCATTGTATTGTTTGTGTATCTCTACAGTTGAAGCAATGTCGTTTATTTGACTTAATGATATTATCTAAAAATAAATTAATGATAAAATTTTAGACTTAAATTTTAATTAAAGAAATATTGTACAAATAATAATAAATTTACTTAATTTATTGCCAATATAAACAATTCTGTTTTTTAATTCCTTATAATATGCAACTTTGTGTTTTTCTAGCAATTTAATTTTATATCCAATTAAATTTGTTTCAGTCCAATAACTTGACACAATTTTGTCGTTGTAATTTTCTATATTTTCATTTAATAATTCCTTTTTATTTATATTTTTTATACTTTCTTCTAATATCGAAGTTTCATAATAATTATTATTCATGACAAAATTATTATTTAGACGAATCTTAGATATTAAATTTTTAAGGCTTAAATTTCGAATAATGAAATATAAAATACCTGTTTTCCCAAGTTTTTCAAAAATTTCTTAACAATTTCATTATTGTCAATTTCAATCATAATTCTCGTTTTTAATTGGGAGCTAAATTTAGACATTGTATTTAGTTTGACAATAAAAACATTATCAACAGGATCTATTTCAACTTTATAAAACGATCCATTATTCTTATAAAGATAATCAACTATTCTAGTTCCTTGTTTTACATTCATTATCAATACAAAACGTTCCTTTATTTGAATATTTTTTAAATAAATAAATTCTCTTTTTCTTCCCAATCCTCTTTTATTTTTAATCCAAGCTCAACCATTCTACCGTTGATTTGGATATTCAACAGAACAACCAAATATGAGAGAAAAATTATAATAAATTTATTCATCTTTAATTCTAATATTAAAAATATTTTATAATATACAAATAAAACTATTGAAATTATAATTAATTGTTATTTAAATTTATTTAATGTTGGTGGATTAAATAAATGTTGCCAAAGAAAAATATTTACGAAAATTTATAAATCTGGAATATGAATTTATGCTGAATATTCTATTATATTATAAATAATATATAAGATAAAAACAAAACAGAATTTAGAACGTTATAGTATTATATGAAACTTATAGTTATATGAAACTTATAGTATATGAAACTTATAGTATTATTATATGAAACTTATAGTATTATATGAAACGTTATAGTATTATATGAAACTTATATGCTAAGTGTATACAATAAAAAACGACGATCGCGTACAAATTTTACTGTTTGACTTTATTAATCGTAGGTTTTGTAATTTTATTAAGCGGGAAAATAAATAAAATAGGGCAAAAGTTGAAATTTTTGTTGACCAAAAAATTACAAAGTACATATGATTAAATTCAAAAGAATCTGATCTTTGAATGTAATTGTACTTTTATGTACAATTTTATGTACGAATTCTTACCCTTGTCACGTGTCAAAATCATAGAATGTTTGTGTCATTCTAAAAGAATAGTGTAAAGCATATAGCTATTTAATTAATAAATTAGTGCAGGAGGCGGTTGATTATGTAAAAAATCATTCCGGGGAACATTAAAAAAATTAGCTAAAGGGGGAACAATTAGCCCAATTCATCTTAATTATATTTAAAGTAATTTAACTATTTAATAATCATTTTTATTCTTTTATTAAATGTCTAACATATGGTATACATATTCTAAGGTTCTTAGAACAGACAATTCTCCTTTCATTGTTTTAAATAATTTCATTTTAATTTAAATTGAGGTTTTATAAATAATATGTCGGAATTCCGATCCTTTCAAGGTTAAAGAACATATAGGAATTGCCAACTACTCACTTTCTCTGCTCTATTCTAAAAATGTCAAAACGGACATGTTAAAAGTGCATATGCATCATATGTGAAGCTGATATTTGGTCACTCACATAGGTAGAGGAAAGGGCGGAGATTTAAGTATACTCGTAATTTTTCACTCGCCATTTTTCAACTCCTCCCCTCCAAAGCTCCATTTAAAAGTCAGTCAGGACTGTCAATGAATTCATTTACATTTTTAATTTATTACCATTTCAAATCGTTTTTCTAAGTGTTTGCCGTTGAGTTTTGCTCAATTAAAAAATGAATAAACATGTTTAAATTATAATTAATATTATTCAGAAAATAATATAACATGTTTACATTAATATATTCTGAACGTGTTAAAGTATATTTAACATTATTCATCTTAAATAAAAAAAGAAGCTAATTTTGTGACATTTATTACACATATTAAACCGAGAAGTACTCCTCTTCGTACAGTTTAAATCTAAGAGCCAAAAAAATAGAGAAAGAGTATATATATCGATACCCCTATAATGTCGATATAAAATCTGTTGATAATTTTAAAAATTTGGGGAAAAAATATGCGCATCCATTATAATGGGATGCCCATAGCCCAAAATTAAATGTCAAAATTTCAAAATCAAAAAATTTGAGATTTAGCTCTTGTCTACAAAATACTAATCACATAAAATATGTTTTGATTTTTGGATAAAACTTTTATTTTAAATTTTCTTCAAGAGTAAATCCTGAAATGGCCCTATAAGTCTATCCTGATCTTATTAACCAGATAAGATGCAAATCAAATGTAAAAAATTTGTAAGAGATGGTCTTTTACCTAAAGAGGCCTTTTACATAATTTTTAAAATTGATTTCGTGTGTGTGTCGGTCCTCATGTACGGGTCCGCAAATGTCGGCTGAGGAAAGTTGCTACTCCTTTTATTTGAAAAAAAATATTGAATTAAAAGACTCCCTTTATTTGAAAAATGATTAAAAAATATTAAAAAGTCTCATACAGCTTTTTCTAAAGAAAAAACAACAGAAGAGCAGCTTTAATTTTATCAATTTCAGATGGTTAAATTTAATTTTGTCATTTTCATATATTCAATTATATTTTTGAAAATTCAATGCTACGGGAAACTCATTCATGTTGAAGTGAAAATTAGAGATGATTGGAAAGAAAAAAGAGAATTTATTTATTTAAAAAATGTTGAAATAAAAGATCGTTTTGTGGTGAAAGTAATTGAAAAGACAAATAATCAACATGATAGTTTTAATGAATATATAGAAAAATATTTGCGTTTAATTGACTTAAATCTAAATAAAAATATGTTTGAAGTTGAACTATTTGATAGTTCAACATATATTCCATCTGATCAATTAAAAAATAAAATTTTGATTGAAATTACTAATAATGAAATAATTCAAAATTTTCTGCATGGGTTTGAAAAAATGGTATATTTTTATTAATAGAATTTTAGTTCAATAG